CCCAGCCTAGGCTCTGTGCCGTTTGACTGACAGCTCATTACCCCGCTGCCATTTAGGGGCAGTGGAATTTAATCTCCCAGCTGGGAAGCAAATCAATTTGCCCATCTGCCACAGCTGTGCCTACGTGGACTCCGCTCTAATTTATTCTCTTAAGCTTAGGAAGCCGCGTCATTTTTAGGTACAGAAATATCAGGTTTCCCAACCAGCCTGGCCAGGGCCTGCTCAGGTAGACGTATCGAGAAGGTCGAGTTACGATGGTCAGCAGGGAGGTGCCATCGGCCTGGCTCAGAGGAAGCTGGGTTCTTGCCCAGGAGGCTGGGCTCATCAATGGGAAGGTTGTACGTGGGAGTAGGGGGCCTCTGCCAGCCAGGCACATATAACCTGCCTACATGCATCCAGGGCTGCGTTATTCTGTGCTATGGTCATGGCTCTGGTTTCTGGGCTTGCTCATCTCCTCAGGTCTCCTTTTCCAGGAAGCCTTTCTCGATGAGCCTGTGGTCCAGACTATGTGCCCTCTATTGGTGCACCCTGCATAGTTTCTGGACACAAGAGGACTTAGAGGATGCTGTTCTGAGACTCAGTTTTCTGCCTTCTATGAAGTGTGGTCATCACTCACAGCCAAGACAGTGACCTTGAACTTGTGACACGGACAGTTTGCAGGGCAATCTGAGGCCTCTTTCTTAGTGAGCACATTACCTGTGGCATGTGCTCTAGGGCACATCAGCGGTGCTCCCATCCCCCACTGTGGGGGTGAGACCCCTGCAGACTCCAGGGGGTGGTCTGGGTTTCCCCTCTAAGCATTTCAAGGGGGCTGTTAGCAGATCCGGATTCACAGGGTGGAACAGGCTAACGAGGGCATTTCCCAGGAGAAAGGTCAGTTGTTTGTTAGGTGAGTTCAGGCTGACTCTGCTCAAGTTGGAAGGATGTTTCTTTGCATGCCCCTCAATTCTGCACTCAGACACAGTGGGCTCTGAGTCTCTTTAGGTGTACATGAATGTGTGTGTATGTGTGGGTGTGGGTGCACATGAGTATGAGTGAGCATGAGTGTGTGAGAATATGGGTATGCATGGGTTTGCATAGGTGTGGGCGGGTGTGTATGTGTGAATGGATATGTGTGTGCATGGGTGTGTGTGCATGGGGTTTGCATGGATGTGCTGGTGCATGGGTGTAGGAGGGGATACGTGTGCATGAGCATGTGTGTGTGTGCATGGGCGTGTGTGTGGGGGAGGGGGTGGGAGTCACTCTGTGGGGAGAAGAGGAGTGAGGAGGAAAGTGCCTTCTGTGGAGGGTTTCTGAAACTCTCCTCAGAGTTGACAAAGCAGCCCCGGCTGCGTTAGTTTTTAGGGGTCAGGGAAAGGCCAATCTATTTACACACCTTTGCTGAGGAGCATGGGGGGTGGTGATGGGGGCTGGGATTAATGAGCAGTTTTATTGCCTCGCTTGTCAGGAGGGTCATGTGATATTATTTTGATATGGGGGCTTCAAAAGCAAACACAACAGGCCAGGTTATACACAGAAGAAAAGGGGGCCTCACCCCAGCTATTAGGCATTTCCCTTTCTTCTCAGTCCAGGTGGGTGGGGGTGTGTGTGAGGGGCAGGACCCTCCTCCCACTGCCAGTGCCTGCAGGCTGATCACGCCAAGCGGCACCAAGGCCAGCTCCCAAGATAACATTTGCCTATGGCGCCTGGCAGTGAAAATTTAACATCGCAGTTGCTAATGAATAAATTGGCCAGGACACCTCCCATCCACTGCTGCCTCTGAGGAGGGGGAGAGCGGGACAGCTCAGGGTGACTGTGCAGCCCCAGTGACAAACCGGGGAACAGAGGAGTGCCTGTGCCAGCACTGACTGGCTGAGTCGGGCTTCCACCCTCCTCTCAACCCTCCTCTCCACCCTCCTCCAAAGGCCTGTGCGAGCACAGAGCAGTCCTGGGACCGGGCAGGGGCAGATGAGAAAGGGAAATTACTGCCCATCTCTGGTTTCTTTTCTTTTGCCTTCTTTTCCCTGTTGGGGCTAACTGTAGCTGTGATCAGCCACCTGACCCTGAACAAGAGGGAAGAATTCTGCCAGATAAACCAATCCATGTACGGACAGCTCCACACACTTGCCAGAGACAGGGCAGGGGAGCAGAGGGCAGGACAGTGGGCTGGCCTGGCTGCAAGTGGCGAGACCTGGGTTCCAGGGGAAGCTCCCCAAGGTGGGGCTGAGATGCCTGGTGCCATCTTGCCACTTATCTCCTGTCACCTTGCTCTCGTAGCCTAGAACATTCCAACCTTTCCTGCAAATTCCAGCGCTTGCTCTGCTCCAAGAAGCCCTCCCTGAGCACTCGAACTGGTGCGCACACTCCCTCCTCTGAGTGCATATTCAGCAGGCACTACTCGGGGTCCCCACTCTGCTAGGCAGGGGCTGTATCTCACCTGCCTATGTAAGAGGCCCTGATCTGAGGCTGCATTCATAGGAAGACCCAATAAATCCTTGTTGGCCACCAGGTTGCTTTAAATACACTTTCTGTTCGCCTCTCGTCCAATAGGTGTTTATGCTGCCAGGGCTGACCACACAGGACACCTATCAGTGAATAGACAAGAGGCCCTGCCTAACTGGAGCAAGGCTTAGGGCTGCGTGCCAAAGGAGAATCAGCCCCTGGGTGGGGGAGTGGGAGAGCTGTTTGTAGTCAGACAGCTAGGTTCAAATCTCAGCTCCACTACCGATAGCTGTGTGACCTTGAAGAATATGCTTTACCTCTCTGTTGAAGTTTTCAATCTGTAAAATAGGGATCATGTAACCGACCTCATTGCTGCCAGAAGCCGGTGAGATGATGGGTGTAGAGGACTGGTGCGTGTGCCTGCATACACACAGTTACTACTGTCAGTTTACCCTAGTTCGAGCCTTGGTGCAGTGTCAGATCTCAGATGTCATTTAGAGTCTCCTGGAGGAGCAGTACAGAGACTGTCTGTATTATTCAGGGCAGAGCCCTGCTGTCCAGGGCAGGGTTGCTTTTCAGAAACAAGTGTGGGGTGTGGGTGGGGGGACGCTGTCTGCCTTGTGCCACGGTGAGATCACGGGATGCCTCACCCACGATCGGGCTGGGGGACAGCACACTGGCAGTGGGACTCACTGACACAACTTACAGCAGATGGGAGGGTGGGGACAACCTGCATGCAGGCCTCCTCCTCAAAGAATTACTTCGTTGTTGGTAAATGTATATTTTGAAGAGAGAGGCATGTGGCCTTTTAAGCGGTTCCTTGCAGCTACCCCAGTTTTCAGAGTAATGAGCTGTTTTCTTTTTCCCGTAAACATGAGGCTGACATCAGAGAACAATTTTTGATCCCAGTTTTAAAACGAACTGGGTGGTTTGGAGATGATGGGAATCCCAGGCAGCCTGTTGGCTCTCTTTCCCTCAGTTTCATTGAAAAGAATATCTTCAAGGAGCCCACAGCTCAGGGGCACGATGCACTCTGGATTATTGGAAGTTTAGAAACATTTAGGTGATTATGGTAAATAATTCACGCAGACCCTGACCAATGCAATTTATTCTTTTGTGCCAGCACAGGGGAAAAGCAGACACCAGCCGTTCCTCTTTTACTTCCCAGTCCTATTAGCGCCATCTAGTGGAGATATGCACTAGGCACAGGATTTGCTTCTCTGGTGTCCCTTCTCCAAACTAGGGAAATGCCACTCACCTAGAAGCCTTTTAAACCTTAGTGTCATCTGTGTTTCTGCCTCTGAGTTAGAAATACCACCAAGGACAAATGACTCTCTAGTTGCTGATTAGCGTGCCCAGGGCCCTGCGTCACGGTGGTTGGCGTCTCCGCGTTTGAACTTGGTGGTCACTGATTAGCAACGTTACTTCTGACACAAGCAAGTAACTTCAGTTCTCCTGGCCTCTGTGTTCCCAGCTGTGAAATGGCTTTAATAACAGAACCTGTCCTATGGGGCAACCACAAGGACAAAATGAAGTGATGCCCATAGGGGACTCAACAGTGTCTGGCACTCAGTAAAATACCAGATTTCTAGTCAAGAAGTAAAAATAAGTAATCTAAACCCAGTAAAGATCTTAGGGAAACAATTTTACGTCTTAATAACACCTTACATTTAGGAGGAACTTGGGAAGATTCTCTTTCAGGTTTGAGTTAGAAGTAGTTGCCTTTTCAATGAAGAGGCTAGTTGTGCGATGGCTTAGGACTTCCTTTCGATTTCCATAGTCACAGTTTGGAAATCAGAAAGGATCCTTTACATTCACCCATGATACGCAGTGCGCTGCATGTCTCCTGGCTAAAATGTGCTTTAGAAGCAGGCACTTCTTTCTAAACAGACAGAAGCAGTCTGCATTTTAGGCAAATTTAGATGACAGCAAAAGTACATTTGAAGAAAACAGTGTCTGTGTTTTGCTGAGTTTAGGTAATAAGAGTTTAGCTACTCTGGTCCAGCTGGGATCTTTCTAAATAATCCACATCCCTAAACACCCACAGCTGGGGGGAGGCATGTAAACACTGGCAGCACATCTTGGGGACCTTGGTGGTGGCACGTTGCCCTCGGAAAGCTCCCGGTGCCAGGGACCCCATCCTGTAGGAACAACAGGCCCAGCATAGCCTTGGCAGAGGTCGCAAGGCTTTTGCAGCTCCATCTGGTAAGTGGCCAGGGGCACGGGGCCCAGCCATGAGCCCGAGAGACCGGCAAGAGTGGATGAGTAGCTAGAGAGAGCTGAGCTCAGAGTCTCAACACCTGGGCTCTGGTACCAGCCTGCCACTTGCCACCTGCTTTCAGTATAGTATCTGCTTCCGTATCTATGAAATGGGATAACACCCTTGCCCAAGTGAAAGAAGAGACTTTCTATAAACTCCACCAGCCATTAGGGCCTGAAAATGCCCCCACCTGCCTATCCCATTGCAGCGACCACTGTGATGTTTCCCGGGGGTGGGCTGCTGCACCCAAGACCCCTGTCCTGTGACGAGAGAAGCTGACTTTGGACTCAAGGGCACAATAACTTCACACACACTAAGCGACAGTTTAACATTTTACTAAATCAATTCACACAAATTCCAAATATAATTAAGGGCAACAGATTCTGTTCTGCCTTTTAAATCTTCCATTTTCAAATCTATCATTAAGACAAAAAAGTAAACAAAAATTAAGTCTGCGGTATATTCATGATTTTTCTTCTTGAGGAAAAAAGGAACATTATAGTAAAAAGAACGCCACTGGGTGTACAATAAAGCACCACGACACACGGTTACAAAGCGGGCTTCCTGGGTTCTGCCACCCGAGGTGGACGCTGCTCTCCCGGCTGCTCTGCGGCAAGCAGGGCTTCATTAAAATAAAACAATAAAATCTCCTAGGTCACACTCAAGTCAGACACAGTCTGGAACACAGTGCTTAACAACAGTAATGCCAACTATCAGTGCTAACGTGAAAACATTTTAGGTCGAAACAATTAAACTGGAAACCAAAACCTTATTTTCCCTAGATGAGCAAAATTGAAAACGAAAGGGTTCCCGCCTCCCAGTAGGAGTGAAGGGGTTTTTTTTGTTTGTTTTTTTTCTTTCTTTCAAATTGGAGGCAGGGGGCACGGTGCGGTTCGTAGTTCCTCAGACTAGTTGGCATCCAGCTTGGCCATTTCCTGCACGTAGATGCCTATACTCTCGCTGTCAAAAAGCACGAAATACACTGTTTTGATGGAAGAGGACATTGTTGACACGAAGTAATTGGAGATGGCCTTCAGAATCAGCTGAGCTGCTGTCTGCTTTGGAAAACCGTTCCTGCAAGACAGAGGACAGGGCTCAGCAACTAGGGAGGCAAGGGCACTGGCACCACCCCGCCCCCGCCCCCCAGGAGGCTCTCAAGGCCACGTGTGTCAGTTTCCATGAGCGGTGTTGGGTCCTGTGGCTGCTGATAGACAGGCATGAGGAAGGCCAGTGCCCACCAGACAAGGGAAGGACGAGTGGGCAGAGGACTGACCGCAAGAGACTGTCCTGTGTGCAGAGGAGGAAGCATGCCAGAAGTCTCTGAAAGACAATGGGCAAGCAGACAGATCTGTGTTCTGTGGCACGTGGTGTGCATTAAAGTTCCCCCAGACAGCGCGAGCTCCCATGTTTGTTTTTCCAGCATCACTGTGACCAGCAAGGGGCCTGGGACAGAGTCCAGGCTCTCAAAGGCTCCCTGTGGATCTCGGTCCCAGAGGATGGCTGGAGGCTGGTGCTTCTCCAAGAAGCTCTCATCTCCATCCACACAAGACGGGAGGTCACGCCCTTCACATGGGTCCTTAGGTTCATGGGTGCTGGGCTGCTGGCCAGGAACCCACTCCAAGCACTCAGTAGCCTGTAGCACCCCCAGGGCCAGGGCATCAGGGAGCTGTGGGTGCTGACGAACAGTGCTGGGCCAAGTGGCTCCTCATCTCAAGGGACAGCATCCAAGTCTACAAGCCAGACTGGTGTGAATTCACATGCATTTCCATTTAGAGTAAATGTCACATGGCAATTTGGGGGGTGGGGCCTCAGAACTTAAGCAAGAATCTGAAATCGGGACTCCATGCAAATCCCAGGCTATCATGGTCAGTGCTGCACATGCAGGACCCCGGTGACCCTGGGGGCCAGTAACATAGCAACCTGCCTCGTCTAGTGGAAACACTGTGGGCTTCGGAGCCATTGGTCTTACCTAGATTCAAACCCCTTACCCCGGTTTACACTTCAGGATACTGAGAGGTAGTTTTCATGAGGATTTCTTTGTTCATCAGCAGATCTACAGTTGTCAATCTGCTCTGAGCCTGTGGATCCACTGGTACCCAAAGTGCCTGACCAGCCTTCCAGTTTCAGCTGGACTCTCCATCAGACTGGGGACCTGCCTCCAGGTGAGATGCCTTAGAGCATTCCAGCCTCACTCATTGGTAGCCGGGGGTTCTGGTCACCTTAGCTGTTGGAGAGTTGCGCTCATTCTGTTGTCAGTGCTCAGAGCACTTCTGATGCACAGGAGAAAACCATTCCTGTGACTTGCTTTTGACCAAACAGGGCTTTACCCAGCTTGGCGATGGACCCCTGGTAACTTCTGGATGTGTTAGAAGTGAAGTCTATTCTTACAAGACAGGGTGTCACCCAGGGTATGTTTCCAGCCTGTACAGGGAAGCCCACTGGCGACAGTGGGGTGCCACCCAGAGTCAGAGCCTCAGCCACAGGTGCTCCTGCAGGCAGCCAGTACACACATGACTGGGCGAGGACAGTGGGTCAGAGGCTGCGTGGACAGATTCAGAGTTGCTACAGCCTGAACAATAGGCACAGCTTCCTCCTGAGGAGACCCCGGGGACTCTGTCTACTACCAGAGTCGGGGTGACCACCAGGAGGGGGGGGACAGTGCAGGGAGAAGGCTTTGCAGGGAGTGAGAAGAGATGGGAACCCCACGTGGCAGGTCGTTCCCCTCACACCCTTCCCCACTCTGGGATTGGCAAGCTCCGTCCGGGAAGAAGCTGTTCTCAGCACGTCTGGCACAGGTGCCCTGACTACTCACAGGCATTGAGCACAGAGGACGGGTTATCTGGAAAGTGCGGAAGGAAGCCAACCCGACCTTCTGTCTCAGGGGGCATCTCTCTGGTGAGCATGTCCTCAGGGGCATGCGTGCAGATGAGTGTCGTGGGGGCCCAACTCGCCCCTGTAAGGGCAGCCCCGCTCCTGAGAGGGACCAGCCAGCTCTGGGGAGCGGAGTGCAGGCACAGGTCACTGCATCCTTGGACTAAGGGCCCATTTTAATTGTCTCACAAATAGCAAATGTTTATTCTCCTGCTGTTCACACAGCTGCCACCTGAAGGATGGTCAGATGATAATGATCCCATTAGCTTCATCCTGGTGGGGAAAGGCAGCCGGAGGAGGAGGCAGCCTAGGGGCTGGCTCGTCACTGGGAGCAACTGTGCTCACCCCCAGGAGCTCCAGGGCTTTGGACCAGGCAGAGCCCTGTCTATGGACGTGACCTGGCTGGGTGGGGCTGAGCAGAGCTGGGAGCCCAAGATCATGCTCCACAAGCTACAAGCTCCCCTAGTGAGGGTGCCCTCCTGTCCATCTCAGCCTCACACCTGCACAGGTGAGCTGAGCTGAGGTGAGGCCCTGTGGGACTTCTTGAGGATTACTGTTGTGTGGCATGATGGTCCAGGGTGTTTGCTGAAAGGGTCTCCCTGGGGCACCAGATCCTGCCTGTTATTCCCACAGCTTTCCATTCCTCTACCTGGGACCCTTGAAAAGGGCTGTGTGATCTCAGCAAGGGGATATTTTCAACGTTAGCCAGGCCTGAGGAGGGCCTGTGGAAACCCAGGCTGCTGGGCTCCACGCAGGGAGCTGACTCAGCAGGTGTGGTGACTGCCCTTTGGAGCCACTGTTCTTTTTGGAGCCAGCAGGACTTTATCATCTGAGCTTGCAGGGTGGGCTCACAGGTGAAAGCCTGCAAGTGGGGACACAGGTAGGGATCAAAGGGTTTAAAGGTGCAGTGTCCACACCTGCATGCCCTCCTATTGATGGAGTGCGGGCTGGTCTGGCCTTGTCCTTCAGGGTGGCTGTGGGTGAATGTGAATCTGATCTGTTTCCAGGAAAATGTCTTGCTGCTGAACCCGTCTCTCTGCGCTGGACAGCCACAACCAGAGGAGGTGGCCACACTGGACCACCCAGCTGCCAGGAGTGGAGGTAACAGCTTTCCTAATGTTTTCAGGTGGGGTCCCCGTGTTTCCTAGTAGCCACAGTTAGAGAATATGTGATGAAATGGAACATACAAGTAGATGGTCTCACAGGAGTGCTTTACACAGAGCCCTGCGCCCTCGAGAGGGACAGCTGTGGCACACGCGGTGAGCTGGAGCCACACAGGATTTGACTTTGAGCCCTGTCTCTGTGCCTTGTTTCCCCGTCTGGTGCAATGGGGTCGGTAATCAAAGTACCTGTTACCTGAGGAGGCTGTGAGGACGAGCAAGATGCTGCACCGAGTCCTCCTCCAATGGTGTATCTGTAAAGCGGGTGGTCTCGAAGGTCTTTCTAAAGGCTCACCCAGTGGAAAATCGCCTCCCCACTCCAGACCCTGTGATAGCTGATGGGTGACAGCTGTCGTCGTAATTACCCTGTGCTAATAATGTGGCATCAGGCCCCAGTCCTCTTGGAGGGCTGTTGGCCATGGCTGTTGGTATGACGAAGCTTGGCAGGGGCACAGGTAGGGGTTCCTTAGTGTGGTGCTGCCCAGGTTCTGGAGAGCTGCTTGCCTAAGGTGTCTCCCTCGACTTTCGAGGGGTTCCCCCTGTTGGTTGCATAGGCACAGCCCCTCTGTACACCATCGCTGCTTGGCCATGTCGTTCGCCTTCTTCCCCCATCTCAGGCCTACTGCCTCTGTTACCATCACTGTCCTACGCTGCACCGTGTCTGCCTTCTGGTGAGACCAGAGGCACCTCCTCTGACACACAAGCCAGCTTGAATCTGACTTGGATGGGCGTTAACCTCTCTAGGCAATAGTGTCCTCCACTGGAAAATAGGTGCCTCAAGGATATACATGGTGATGACCACGATGGTGGTGATGTGGATGCTGCTGCCCAAGAAAGTAAAGGTGCCCCTCATATTCCCACTGGGCCTGACCCAGTGGCTGTGGTTATGGCATGTGTCTTAAGTTTCTCTGTGGCTAACTGCTTACACCCTGCAAGGTTTACCTGAAACTTTGAGCTTTTTTTTTCTTGATCTTGCCTTGAGCAAAGGACAGATGTCTGAGCTTCCCATGAAGTCACTCCAGTTATGTCTGGGACAGCCTTTCCTAAATGTCTTGGGCCTCAGTTTCCCTAGACTGGTGCAAAGGGACCCTGGGGACTATCTGTCTGGTGCCCTCTTGGATTAGCCTGCTCAGTGATGGCTGGGGACCGGATGGCAGAAATGTGGGTTTGTAGGGCCACTTCACAGAAGAGCCCGCTCCTTGCATGGGGCATCGCCAAGCATCTCTGTTCCTGGAGAGCTGTCCTCCAGTGCTGGGCAGGGCAGGCCCAGAGCTGTGCTGAGGAGGCCAATCAGGCACCTAGCGGGAGAGGCTGTGCCCAGGTGAGGGAGTCCAGGTGGGTTTTCTGGAGGAGATGGGCTGGGAGCTTGCCCTTGAAGGCTGTGTGGCGGTGACTTGGATTTTAGATGGAGTCTGATTTTCTTGCTGGGCCTGTCTAGTTGGCTTTGCTGCTTGGGAGATGGGTAGGGCTGGATATCTTGGAAGCTTGGGGGATGTGAACACTCATCTGCTAGGATTAGGTCTCCCTCACACTGTGATCCTGGGCCCCTCCATTTTTTCATGTTCTGTCTGACTTTGAGTAACTGTCTATCTGAAGTTGCCCAGCGAGAGGCCACTCCACCCAGAGATAAAGACCAGGTGCTACAAATTGGAGAAGCCAAAATTCAGGTGGGGATGATGATGGGCCTCTATCCCCCAAGGCTAGAGAGGGGCCGAGATTCACATGTGGTGGGTTGATAAGTAATTCTCCCTAATTCAGTTGGTTTCTGTCCTTTATATTTCTCGTCTACGGTTCATGTGTAGGGGCTAGGGAAGCTAAAGGCTGTGCCTGGGCAGATCAGGGACGTCCAAGTGGTGGTTCCAAGGTTCCTAAGACCCACTCACATAGAGTGTGCAGGCGGTGGGCGAGCCTAGTGGCATATGAGAAGGCAGGGGTTCCATGTGCCTAATACCACGAGCACTGAAACCAAGGGCCTTCACTCAAATTCTGGCCCTACCAGCTGCAAGTTGTGTGACCGCAGGTGAGGAACTCAACCCCGCTACCTTCCATTTCCTTCCCCTTGAGTGGAATGAATACCAGCATGCATCTCTGGGGTTGCTGTAGAGAATGAAGAGAAGGCTTTAGCATAATGCCTGGGGCTCAACGAATACTATAAATGGTAGCTTGAAAAAGACAACTGGCTTTCCGTTTAAGCTCATAAACCTAAGGAGAGTTTAATCAAAGCCCCAAACTAGCTATTCCCTATGGACTGCCCCTCCGGAAAGGGGTCACTCCCTAATGTCAACCAGAGCTGAGGGGGTGGAGGTGTCCATAAATATTGTGACGGAGTGCCCAAGGGCAGGATGTCCAGATGCCAGAGGTGGCTTCCCGAGGCTGGGTTACACCCCCCAGCTCTCATTTATACCCAGTGGCTTTGAGATTGGTCCGGGGGACAATGGGTTGGAGGAAGGGAGTGCAGGGTCATGGTCATCCTCCATCTGCCGGGGACGCTGGGCCTCGGCTGAGAGAAAGTGAGCCCACTTTACCAACATGTTTGCATTGATATCGCTTTAGTTCCAACATGACTTTTATGCCAGGGACACTGGATGCCACAAACAAGCTGTTTTATTTCCCCTCCTAAACCCACTGTGATTTACTGGCCAGCTCTGGTGTAATCCCATTCTTTACTCATGAAAGAGAGGGTGGTGTTTACACGGTGCTGTGGGGCAAGGTCTGCCTGGCAGATGTGGGCGGCTGTGCACATGTGCTTACCTTAGGAATTCCACCCTCTTAAAACCTTTCAATTGATTATATCTTAAAACTTTTTACTCCATGAAAAATGTAAATGAGTTTGTAATAACAGATGCTCTTTTATGAGAATTACTTTTATGCTTCAATTAGAAATTCCCCAATAGCCATATGAAAGAGCATGAAATTATTACCTCCAATAATGGCTCCTATTGCTTCTCTCTTCGGAAGCACCTTTCATCAGAGTAGATCAAAGTGCCTCCAAAGCACTAATTAACTGAACCTCAGAACTGCCTATAAGGAAGGGCAGCCCCCAGACAGAGAGGGTGATTCATTTACCAAAGGTCACACAGCAGTGCAGTGTCAAAGAACAGACCTTCTGTGGAGAAGCTGGCTATTTATGCTCTGATACAAAAGCATTTTGTAAAAATTTTTAAAAGTCTTGAATTGACTCTGGAACTGCCGCTGGCACCTTATGAAGCCGCTGCCTTTGCAGAGCCCTGACTTCCTTGGGCACTGAGCGGGGCTGGTGGCAGAAACCCAAGCAGGCTCATGATCTCCATGGGAAGCCCAGGTGCAGCCACCTGCTGATACAGAGCCCTGGACTGTGGCCTCTCTTGGGCCCAAGATACCAACAGCTGCAGCCCTGAAGGCCATCTCCCTTTGCTCAGGGCCCAATCCAGACCATGAGCCTTTGCAGGGAGGACCCTGGTGATGTGAGGGCTGTGGAACCTCTGGGGTAGCATGCTCCTACAGGCCCTCATGGCTTCATCAGAGTTCTCACAGCCCTCTCCCTCATTTCCAGAGCAGGCCTAGGATGCTGCATGAGGGATTGCTATGCCTGTTTTACAGAGTAGGGATTTGGGCTCAGAATGGGGGTCAATTTATGTGCCAGGACTCAACCCCAGGCCTGTCCCCAACCCAGAGCACAGGGAGGTGGGGTGGTCGCCACCCTGGCTGCCCCATCAGCTTTTCAAGGACGACCGCATCCATGCTGGCTCCCTGGGTAGTGTGTCTGTTGAGGGGCAGCTGTGCTGCTCCTCACAGCCTCAGTGCGCCCACTTGGGGATAATACAGGGCTGAGAGGTGGGGTAGGTCCAGCCCCATTTCACTCTCATCTAACTGCCCACTCAGTTCCAGCAGGTTCCACATCCTCATTAGCAGGGTGATGAGGCAGAGCAAGCAGGTCTGGGAGGTGAAGGTCGCTTGGGAACACATGGGTAAGAGACAGGGGGCTTTACCCTGGGATGGTTCTGGGAGGGGTCCTCCTTCAATTAGATTCCTGCATCCACACCTCCCCTGTCCTCCATGCCCACTCTCTGAGCCATCGTCTGACAGTCCCAGTACACTCTGAAGTTGCCCTCTGTGATGACACTTGCTGTCGCAACACAAGTTCTATACTGTCCCAGGCTTCCTGTCTCACTCTACCTCTTCCACTATCCCTCCCCACTGCTTAATGTGTGCATTCTTCCCGATTTTTTGCCTCTCTTCCCCTAGAGCAGTGGTTGGCAAACTGCAGCTCTTTGGCCCCTTGAGTGTGGCTCTTCCTAAGCCTTAGGAGTACCCTAATTAAGTTAATAACAATATACCTACCTATATAGTTTACATTTAAAAAATTTGGCTCTCAAAAGAAATTTCAATCATTGTATTGTTGATATTTGGCTCTGTTGACTAATGAGTTTGCCGACCACTGCCCTAGAGTAAGGCCAGTGCTTGAAAGCAGCCTCAGGTGACTTTGTACTCAGTCAGAGCTCCATAATTATGGGCTAAATATGCAGAGAAATACACCCATGGTTGCCATAGTAACAGGCTGGTGCCCTTACCTGCCACTGCCGATGGATGGAAACGCGATGGACTTCAGCTTCTTATCATCTGCCAGGGCCAAGCAGTTTTTCACTGTCTTTTCCAGCAGCTCCTCACATTTGTCTGCACCCCAGACCGGGCTGTTACAGTGGATCACAAACTTGGCGGGCAGGCCATGTCCTGCACTGACAGCAGCTGGAGGGGACGAGATAGGAACAGTGTTTGTCCCTCAGCAAAGAGCATGGCATTAGATGCCAAACACAGACCCATTCTCCAGCCACGGTACTACTGCCTGCTGAGTTGGGATTCCTATGTAAGCGTGAGCTGGAAACTGCTCCTCAGTTAGTTCTCTCACTCTGGGAGGCCAAGCCAAGACCCAGCCTTGGAAAGTTGGCATTGGCTGCATCACTACAAGGAATTTTAGCCAAGATTGTAGAAAGTTCTTCCTCTACTTTCTCAGAAGGCAAAGCCTTAACCATCTAACTTGACCAACTGTGTCAGAATGTTTGCAGCCTCCAATTAGTTGCCTTTTGGGGTCTCTAACCCCCTTTTCTCAAGTGCATTCATGTGCTTATATAATTATGATGTATCTACAGGTCTCCCAGACACAGTTCAGGACAAACTTATGAGGGAAGCAACCCGACTAGCATGTTTGCTGCCCTGTTCTTCTCCCTAACTATTTAGTTTTGACAGAATTACCAGGTGTACTGGTTAATAATGCGGATTTTGTATTCAAAGAAAACATGATAATTTCAAGAGAAACATCAAAAGTGCTTTATTCAAAGTAATGTCCATCGCTAGCTACACATTTCCCCCATCTTTCAGGTAATTTGTGGATACCATCCCAATAGAACTTTTCTTGCTTTGAGGCAAACCATTCAGAGACCCAATTTCCCTCTTTTTTGTACGTTTTGAAAGGGTGGGTTAATACTTCCCAGGCAAGATCTTTTAACATGTCTTTAACTGGTTTTGAAGTGTGTTATGGTGCGTTATCATGAAGCAAAATTACTTCGCCGTATCTTCTGGCCCATACTGGTCGTTTTATGATCAAAGCGTGGTTCAAATTGATTATCTGTTGTCCGTAGTGATCAGTATTAACAGTTTCACCTGGTTTTAAAAGCTCATCATACACTACCACCTTCCTGATCCCACCAAACGCAGAGCATGGTCTTCTTTCCGAAGCGATTTGGCCTTACAGTCGATGTTGATGGTTGACCTGGATCAACCCATGATTTTGTGCATTTGGGATTCTCAAAATAAATCCACTTTTCATTGTCAGTCACAATTCAGTGCAAAAAAGACTTTCATGCCAATGAAGCAACCTTTTACTGATGACTTTTGGTTTTCCATTTGTCTTTCGTTCAGTTGATGTGGCACCCATTTTCCTTCCTTTAAAATCTTTCCCATTGCTTGTAAACAATCGGAAATTGTCTGCTGAGCAACGTTTAATCTTTCTGTAAGTTGTTGTGGAGTTTGACACGCATCTGCATCCAATAATGCTTTTAATTGTTGGTCTTCAACTTTTTCGGTTGACTTGGGTGTTGTCTTTCACATCAAAATCATCACTTTTAAAGTGTTTAAACCAGCGTTCACAAGTATCTTGAGATGGAGCATGTTCACTATAAGCTTCCTGAAGTATACGATAACTTTCAGCAGCACTTTTCTTTAAAATAAAGTAATGAATTAAAACTTCCTGCAAATGCTCTTTTTTTGGCACAAAATTCAACATTTTTAAGCATAAAAATATCTATGATGTTAACACCTTCAGAAAATTTGACATGTGATGTTTTTCAGCTTGCTGTAAATACAACAAAATAGCATACATATCAAATCGCATACATATCAACATACGTGTAACTCCATCTATTGAAAAAAATCCGCATTATTAACCGGTACACCCGGTAGACTGTTTCTAGGATGAAACTATTTTCTTTTGCCAGAAAGGAGCCTTTCTCCAGCTACACATAGCAGACCTGCTCCATCTCTGTCTGCCCCTCCCCCACCAATGAAATGGAACCAGCCAGCCTGGTATCTCCTAGAGCACGTTTCAGGATTCCTGTGTCCAAAGATGTGATGCAAAGGAGGTGGCTCTAAGTCCCAGGGTTGGTGAGTGCTGCCTGCATCCTTCTATCCTGGAGCACCTGAACATCGCCACAACACTGCGACAGGAAGTCCCCCAAACTTTTTGGTTGAACATGTCATTAGTAAGTGATTTGTGGGTATTGTCTCATGGTACAGTAGAAATAGCTCTGGACCAAGATTCACGAGTGTGAGTGTGCATCTTGACGAGGTTTACTGACTGGTTTGAGAAGTCTGAGCTGAAGTGTTGACCTATTAAAACCAAAGACTGGGTTTAGTTCATTGGTCTGTCCATGTGAGACATCACTGCTCAACTATGCATGGAAAAGGGTGGAGAGAAACATGTTAACAGTGATTATCTTTTTAAAACCTTTTCTAAAATCTTAAAATCAAGAACAAAGTGTGTTTCTGTTATTAAAACAAGCGAATAGGTCTCTAGCCATACTAAATCTAATGGGTTTGCTGAGTTTGGTGCATGGCAGCACTAGGGCCACCAAATAGGCTCAAACTGAACACCAATGGGAGGACACTGGGCAGGGGCTGAAGAAAGGCCAGGAACCCTGGCCAGGTAGGTTATGCTGTGTGTGTCTTCCCTTGTTCGGCGGAACTGGCTGGGAGAGTTGGATAATTGTGCCCCTCAGCAATGCCATGTCCCTTGTAGGCAAACAACTGGCAAAACAGAGGTCAAAAGCACAGAGACCCATGATTAGCCTAGGCTAGCAAGCCATATGTAGTCCCTGGGGGAAAAAAGGGTTATGATGGATGGACCCTCTGAGAAGGGATTCTGTGGACACACAGTAATTACTGATGCCTGTATTTAATTAAGATTCATTTTAAAAGCAGGATTTGAAGACAGGATGGGCACTGGGGACCATCTAGTAAGAAAGGAAATCAGAGCCTATCTTTGCACAGCTGTGGGCTGACAGGCCACACCCCTGTGGACTCCAGGCAACCAGGAGGCCTCTGCCCACCTGAAATTCCAACATCCAGGCCGGCAGCAGTAACCAGTACTCTGCCTCTACAGACCTTAGCACCATTCCTCCCCACATCAGATTTCCCCTGTATCAGGAACAGTGTAATTGGCAAGTGAGAAATGTGTCTTTATATTTTCCCATTAAAAGCAAAGATGGCTGAATAAAAGTGATTAATTTGCATCTCTCACCAGCAGTTTTACAGATGGATCAGTAGCACTATCTCTAATTCTCAGAGCTTAAATTTGCCAAATTCGACTTCTGTTATTCCTTAAAATTTGACATCGAACATCTAGAAGCTATTTTAAGCAATAAAGAAAAAAATTGGAAAGGCAATTTCCACAACCCTTAAGCTCCCCTGACAATCTGCATGTAACAAAAGTCTAAGTTGTAAAGCCAACAGGTTCCCCCTCCATCTTGAAGATGCATCTGTACTGCCACCTCTGAATCCCAAGCTGTCTCCTAACTGCTTTCCCTAACCCCCTGCATCACCACACCCAAGTATGCCCGTGCTTCCTGCCCTTACCTCCAGCCACTTCCAAGGGCCCATTCTTTTTCCGGAGCTCCAGGACAGCTTCCACAAACTCCTTGCCTCCTTTCTTCTCCAGCGTGTTTCCTAGACAAGGACAGGACAAGCTCAGGTTGCCACTCCAGTGTCTCAGGGCATACACAGACACTTAGCATGTCAGGTGACTACATACTTTATATGATCTGACCAGCTAAATTCCCATATGGCTGCAAAACAGGAGCTAAGCCTCGGCTGAATGATAAGAGTGAGATGCAGAAGGGCTTCACCAGCGGCCAGATACCACTCTGGCACTGCAGACCCTTATTTGGGGGTGACTCAGGGTTATCCTGGATGAGCCAGAGATTCGAGAGATGGGAGATGCCTGTTCTTTGTGAGCAACCTGCCCTACGTGCTTTTTGTTGGCATGAGAAACCACATGGCTTCCAAGGCTGATACCTCCCCTGGATTTTCTTCTCTGTCTCTGGGGGAGAACCCCCAAATAAGGAGGTTTTAGAAGAAGCATACCATGCTCCCATCAGGCAGCTAGCTCCCCTCCTGGCAGCAGGCCCAGAAGAAAGCATGCAGATTTGGTCATTTTTGGACCAATGTTATTACCATGCTTAGTTCTTATTTTGCAGCCTGGACATATGTGAATACAAAAAAAAAAAAAAAAAAAAAAAGCCTCAGACAGAATTTCCTTAATCACACTTATGATTCAGAATCATTTCAGGTAAAGGAGAGCAACATCAGAAGCAGAGCTTAGAGATGAACTTGTATTATACAAAAGCTGGGGAAGGAGGATGGCATCGCTGTTCAGGAGTAGGAAGCACTTTTCCTTGTGCATTAGGGTATGTAAAAATTAACCGATTTCTGCTATGAAAGCCAAGCTCTCAAACAAGATCCCAACACCGATAAGGTCTGTGGGTTAAATGTCTCATGTGGGACAGCAAGAAGTAACCAAAATGAGAGATGACACCACCCTTTAGAGTTTTGGCCAGAATGGGGTCTCGGTCTTCCTTAAGCTCTGATTCTTCAGTTTTGCACATTTTAAAGTAGTTTTCCTCACGAGAGGACAAAATACTCCCCTTAAGATTCACCATTTGTCTTAGAAAAGTCAAGAATGGGTCAGTCAGGTGCATCAGAATGCACCAGCCCAAATTCTCTCAGGATTTGCCCTGCAATGACTGGGGCTGGTTTTCTTAAGAGAAATCTGCCTCGTTTGAATGCTTGTTCTGGAGGAGCAAACTGACCCCAGGAAGTATCTAGAAGGAAAATCAGAGGGCCTGGGCACTGTCACCAAGACAGCCCCAGGGTTAATGGAAGGTACTGACCTGTGAGCCATCTGACTATAGAAGTCTGGGGTGCATGAATGAACGTGATGCAGGCCGTCACCCACAGGCACGCTCAGCTGACTAGGAGGAGGCCTGGCTTTCAGAGAGATTAACTTGGGATCCTTGAGGAGGGAATCCAGCATCCCTCCTCATTAACTCAGACTGCCCCCATGCCTTCTTCTGTCTTGGAAAGCAGTGAAGGAGGCATTTAAGTGGCAACTTCTACGTGTTTCTGACAAAATTCAGCATCAGAGACAGTGGCTGAATGGGCTCAAGGGGGCAGGTTCAGGCATCGTGGCTCAGAGACCCCACCCACCAGGAAGTGGAGGCTCTAAGGATACAACCCAGGTGAGTGAGGCTCACTTACAGGTTCACCTGAAATATTTGTGCCACTGAGAAAAATGAATCTGCTGGATCCCAAAATGCTACTGTCCAGCTGCACCCGGTCTAGCCTTCCCCCCATCCCAGTCTCCAGCTTGAAGGAGGGAGACAAATGTGCTCTAGACAGGACTAGTTCAGGTCCTCATTCTCCATCCTATTTACTCTTTGGGACAGCTGGGAAATTTGGAAGGGAAAATAAAATCAGTACTATATTAATACTACCAACTCAGCACAAAATATTTGAGAAAATGGGCTGACTTACAATTAAAGGTGTTCTATCTTAGGAAGAGCGTTTACTTTAAAATTTTTATAATTAAATCTTGCTTTAATTAGAAGTGAAATTTGCAAGTTGAAATACACTTAATGCCCAAACTTAAAAACTGAATCCTAGATTGCAGGCAATCCACCCAGTCAGGACTTGACTCCTACACACACATATGTATGCACATGTTCATGTAGACACACAGGTACTTTTTAACAAGAAACAGGCCCATTTCAACTGTATTGTCAACACTCAATGTCAGACTCTTGCTTTTTAGGCTTAACTTCAGGGTTAATCATAAAGCAATTGGCTTATTTGCCCCCAAGCATAAACATGTGTTACTCCCATGAGAACAAGAACATTATTTTCATGCTTAGAAAGCAGGCATAAGTATCAGTGTTCAAAACAGCCTAAGCGAAAATTTAGGCTTGGACAAATGTCAGGCTAAGCCTGTGGTCTATTTCACTGTTAGAAAGAACTTTTGATGGGTATAGTTAATCACTGGGGCTAAGCATTCCTGCACTCGCATTCCTTCTTCCAGCGGTCTCGGGACTCAGGAATTCACACCAAATATGAGAAATGGAGTGATTGCGTCCTAGCTTCCTTGTTTCCCCTCTCACACATCAAAAGGGGAGCTGGAACCAATTGAGAGTACGTGTGAATCTGGTTGATCATTGGTTTGGAATTAGAAAAGAATCTGGGCTCAGTACTAGTTTGAACTGGTTCGCCAAGAAAAAGCACTGAGGTGGGCTTTTGAAGACCTGGGTTCGGATTCCTCCTCAGTCTGTCAGGCAGTCTGGACCTGCGGTTCGTTCTTTCCCAGCTGTGACAGTGTGAGGGATGTGACCTTGGGCAAGCTCTTGAACCCAAGTTACTTACATGTCTCTGAGGCTAGCATATGTTTACTCTGTGCATACCAGTGGGCTGAGGGGAAAAGGATTGGCACTATCATTATTCAGGAAGGACTGGGTTCTTGAGGGGGCTCAGTTGACTGCTTATGACCCTCTCAAAGCCTCTAGCTCTACCAACCACCACCCCCTACCACCACCTGTGACTGAACCTGCTGCACACAGGCCTTCCACTGCCAGCAGCTCAGCAACTCTCCTCTCCCTAGGCCCAGGAAGTATTATAATTTCCATTTCACTAAAACTCCTAGGTGGCAGCTGTTTGTTTATTTACTTTCCTCCAAATCAGTATTTTCCTCCCACCAAGTTTTCATTTGGTTAAGAAAGGAAGTATCTCTCTTAAGCTGCCTGACTTAGGAGCTCTTAAACTCCTCTAAAATCTTGTCAAAGGGAAGTTTATTTTAATTACCTACAGCCTCGTTTAATTTTGACCTGGTAGCCTTGGCAAATCCTGACTTTCCATCCAGTTTGTCTTTCCATTCATGTCCGAAATTCAAAATGCCCGGGACAGCAATTAGCCCAAATCACAGAGGCTAGAGCAGACTGAACAGCAGGCTTTGCTAGTGACACGAAACAGAGCTGGGCCACCAGACTACTAACTGCGGTGCCTCCAGTATCCAGGACACTCACGAAAATCCTGAGAGCCTCATCCTTCACGATGACCTCACCTTTGCCCTAGTTAGAGATGTCTCCATTCTCTCTGGAAGCTGGTGTTTGAATCTACACTCAGAATGCTCCTCTCAGGACCAGCACATCTACTGTAAAAATCACACACACCGGAGCGAGCTCCAATAGGTCAGCACCAATCATGAGCCAGGCACAAAACACGGTGCTTTGCTTATTAGTTATTGAACATAATTCTCATTATTAGCACTATTTTTAAGATAGGGAAACTGAGGCATCAGGGAGTTAATTGACTTGCCCAGGCCCCATAACCAGTAAATGGTGAGATTAAGATTCAAGCCCCTGTACTTAGCTCCAATTCTGTTTTTTGCCATCGATGCCTCATCACATAAATGCCTCAGAACATTTTTAAAGCAGGGCACTGCCTGGCCCACTGCGGCAACAAGCTGGCAGCCACAGGCTCAGCACCCCCAGTGCTCTCTACCTCAGCCCGTTCTCAGCTATTTAGCACAGAACCAACCGATGACTTGTGTCAGCTGCTGGGGAGAGAAGGGGCTTTCTAGGTCCCGGAGTGTTTCTCAAGACACATCAGAATGAGGTGATTTTGTTCCTGGAAAGTCTGAGAATCCCTGAGTATGGGAGAGTGTTCTGAAACTGCCCCGGTGGGCACCTGAGCTTTAAGACCATTTTCAGGAAGGAGTGTGCTTCTGATATAGAGAGAGATGTGGGGGGTGGGGGTGGGGCACGGAGACCTGAGCACAGCTTCCCTGTGTGTCTGGTGCACAGAGGGCACAGGAGAGGTCTTGGATGCACCTCAGCCGATCTGGTTGCATTGCCCTGGCAGCTGAAGTCATGTGTGAACCCAGTCTCCATCAAAGCTGTGCCTCATGAAGCAAATGAAGAAATGAGGTTGATGAACCAGTTTCTAAACCAGAAGCATGCCCATTGGTGAGCTGCAAGATACACCTGGCTGACAGCTAGCTGTATTTTTCATGTTCACAACCCGGGGATGGGAGACCTTGGGAAGGTCAGGACAGCTGGAAGTGTGAAATGAATGCAGCCCTGCATAGCTGTCAAAGATCAAGCTGTCTGCGGCGGCCGACTGACCATGCACACACACACTCGGCAGCACCCAGCTAGGCATTACCTACTTCACCACCGGTGTAGAAGTCATTGTTTGTCGGGTGAACGACAGCATCACTGTCGATCGAGGCAATGTCAGCCTGTACAACTTGCAACTATAACAGGTAAACAAATGTATATCAACTGTGTTGGACCGAGACCCACGCACAGGCACATTCACTAACGCCCCATGGCAGGGCTGGCCTACCTGGTCGATTCCAACATAGGAGCCCAGGGGGCACAGTCCACGAAGTGTGCGCACACGTGGATGGGGGTGAGGAGGAGGAATATCAAATGTGACATGTTGAAATTAAACATTTGAATGACAAGTCCCAAAAAAAGAGAAACACACAGATGAGATCATTTCAAAGGTTAAAAGAAATAACAAAACAACGAATGCCCCATTTCACTTCGCAAAGCCTGTGTAACTGGAACCCCACTGAAAATGCTACTAAAACATGGCATCTGTTTAAAAAAAAAAGTGGTGGACTATCAGGCCAACCAAAACAATCAGTTTCTCCATTTTGTCAGCAGCAGTTAACTTTCCAGGTTTGATATTCATTCTTGTGACATTCATCAGTTGATCTACCTTCTTGAAAACCGAGAAAACAGTATAGGTATACATAGAGGACTGTATTTTCTCGCTTCAATGAGTAAGAATATTTTTCCAGGCCTACCTCTTATTCTGGGTAATCTTATTTCTATGTATTAGTACATAAAATAGGATAGAATCCTTGCTTTTTCTAGCTTGGAGCCTTTGTTGTTTTTAGAAACAGTCTGGTAAAGGCAGTTGGAAAACAAGTTCAAGCAGGGCATTCTTGAGTCCCAGTCCCATGTCCTCAGCCCACTACTGCACCTGGGTTGTGTGGGTTGGGCCTGCACTCTGGAACAAGTCTCCCTCCCAGCCAGGAAATCTGCCTAATGTGGGAACTAAGGCACACAAAGCGCATGTAAGTCAGCATCAGGCAAGAGGATGCCTCGGTGTGGACATGTGCTAGCCCACTGCCCCTGGCAAGGCTCACAGCTAAGAGGACAGGAGCCTTTTGGGGCCCCTGAACTGACAGCTCCTCTATGCAAAGATGAAGCCACAGATAGATGCCTGAGGGTCACTCTCAGATGGCTCTGAACCCTCTATCCTCCTGAGCAGGGAGACCCTGTGGCTAGGGGGCAGAGCCTTCCTCTGTAGGAACTCACTTGGAAAGAAATATTGTCCCTCTGTCTGATATCACCTTCTAGCCAAATAATTCATGACAGTGGCACTCAGCCATATACTGTTTTCAGTTGCAAAAAAAAGTTGAACAAGTGACAATAGGCAGTAAATTTGGGGGAAACCAATTTGCTGGTGGATTAAAGACAGCTTAATTGTATACTGATTCGGCTTGTCTCCCTTTTCAGGTGCTTTGAAGCTTTGAGTTGTCATTTCTAATTAAGGCTTAAATGGAGAAACTATCATTTTGTAGTTACCTGAGATTTTTCCATTCTAAAAAAAACCAAATACATTTTTTTTTTTAAAAATCCCCCCCAAGTAACCAGCAGTCAGTGTGATCATTATGGAAGAGAATTTAGATGGCAATATATTTATTATCAAGGATAAGAAACCAGCCAATTGCACTTAACCAAACACCATCAGATCATTTCCATTTGGAATGGCTCTAAGTAGACATTCAATGTCTACAACGAAAAATTCATCTTGTATTGGGGAATTTGGGTGGACTATCTTAAGTTTGAGAAGATGAAGAGCCTAAATTCTGGGTTCCATAACTTTTCATCTGACGGCTGGCGACGCCAAACCCCATCCCCAATTACCTAGGTCATCTTTAAGGTCAATGTCAGCATTGGTAGGATTGATTATGGCCTCCACCTCAAAGCCGGCTAAATTACTGATTTCACTGTGAATAAGGTTCAGCTGAAAAGAAAAGCATGAGGTGGGAAATAACAGGACAGCCGGGAAGTCACAGAGAAGTGAGCCTTGGGACACAGATGAGGGCAGTGAACACTTCAAGGGCACTGGGCACAAAGGGGAACAGGGAGTAACTGGCTAAAACAAATCCATTTCTAACAAAAGACCCAAATGTCACTCAGGATGCTGAAAGGAAGCAAGCGAGCTTGAGGGTCCAGAATCTGTTGGGTGATGCTTAGGGCAAAAGGAAGGCATGAGCCATATTGGGCTGGTGGTTCCACTTCCTTTTAAAAGAACTTGTGATCTGTGGGCCAAAGAAAAGCAGCTGTCAGGACCCAGAATCAGAGGGCTCATTGCTGGGTGGGGACTCCATGTGACTATCTTCTTCTTTGAGCAGTGGGGTGGTGTGGAAGCCCCAGCTAGTCTGGGCAAACCCCTAGTGGCTCTGCCATTCTCCAAGTGGCCATGGGCTTTAAGGCTGTCCCCATCACCATGACTCCTGTTGGCTGGCTCTCTGCCCTGTTCAGGGGTGGCAAGGAGGAGAATGTTTGTTGCTCAGTAACATCTAATTTGACATGTCCATTAGTCATGTAATGCTGAAGGTCTGATGAAGCCCAGGAAGAAAACAGCAGTTCTCCAGCGAGACAATGTGTCTTTTAAATGTTTTTCGCCTCGTTGGTGAGGTTACTCTGAGGCCCCATGGGTCGAGCATTTTCCTTGAGTGAGTTTTATGAGCACCCAACCAACTGGCTCTTTCTATAGAGTCACTGAATGTCCCCCTCCCCACTATTATTCTGTTGTCAAAGCAACCTTCAGTATGAGAGGATTCCTAAGTTCTAGATTCAGCTGTGAAAGCAGCCAAGGGAATTAAATTAGGTGGTTCAGGACTACATCCTGTTTATACTCTTCCCCTTCCTGTTCTTAGGTACAAGTGTCTGCAGCAAAGCCAGCTCCGGCTCACACTCCCTCTCTGCCTCTCTCTCTCTCTCTCTAAGATGCTCATTCTCCAGTGACATAAATTCCTAACGCTGAAGTGAAGAGCAATGCCTGAGAGCCCCCAGAGTAGTTAGCGCCCCAGACCTGCTGACCGCAGCCTGCAGGGCCCGGCAGGCCAGAGCATTTGCGCAGGCAGAGGCAGAGCCAACCTGGCTGTCGGGAAGAGAGCTTGGTGCCCACTACTTAGGGCACATCAGGCCTGACTTTGATAGGGAAGGAGCTGGTGGCTTGGAGCTACTGGATAGACACCCAGGATGCTTGACATACCTACTTGGCTATAGGAAATAGTAATATCCTTTTTTTTTTTTTACATAATATGATCAGAAATTCAATCTTAAGAAATCAAAAGTGATTGTTAAAGATACAAGTGACATGTTTAGTCTAGACTGTAATTGTCAATTTTTGGTGTCTCTCATTCCCTCAAAATGGAAAAGGAAGGAGAAGACTGGCCGGTCTTACTGCCCTGTGCCAGTCACATGAAATGCAATTCTTTTTCTGTCCCCAAAGTCTGCTTACTAAGGAGGATGGAAAGAGCAATGTCTTCCATAGAACTGCTTCTAAATTCCTCATGGAGAACCATGTTTTCTCTGTGGCCCACTCTCCTGCCCTTGCCTGTGGGATGAAAGGATTACTTCATCTCTGCTATGCTGTCCACTTTGCATGCAACCTGGCCTGAATTTCCCCAGAAGCCTCAGGTCTAGTGGTGGCATCTGGTATGTTTCAGGCTAGAACGTGTCACACAAAGATCAGGACACATGTGGGCACTGCTGGAGGCCCAGGAGCTGAATGCCCACTCTTCATGGATTTGTCAGTTTCCACTCATCCTGGATTCTCAGAAGCCAGTCATCAGCCACAGTATGGAAAGGGGTAACGGCCCTTTCCTCCTCGTTGCTGCTTCAAGAGCTCCTTATCTCCTTACAGTTTTCCAGCCCCAGGAATAGGGTGTCTGGACCTGGGGGAGCAAACCCCTGGGTCCCCCTGCCCTTAGTGGCCTCCAGTGCTGCATCTGCCATGCTGATAGTTAGGGAGGCTGAAGACTCACTCATACCCCCTGACACTGCCTTCCCAACTGCTTCAGATAACACTGACCCCACCAGGAAGCCTAAATTATTACTACCATTGACACGGATTTACAGAAATATATACTGCAGTATTTTTAAAAAAATAAAATCAGGTTTTTATCTTTCTAAAAAGGGGCTGCAAATCTCCAGTGAACCACAGAAGAAAAAACTTTTAGCTCATTCAGATTCCCAGCACTGTGTTCTCTTTGAAAACAGTTCAACAATGTGTGTAAATAGTAGGTAATATCACAGAGCAGTAAGAGCGATGACGCTTAAAACTTCAGTTTGTGAAATTCCTTGTCAGCAACAATTAGATCCCAGCCTCCTAAAACCAGGTGGCTTCTCCTGTGAGTAGCTTAGCAACCGTGCCTTACACAGTTGCAGGGAGCACAGTATCACTTTTCTCCACTCCAGCTTGCTTGCAATATTCAAGCCTTAGTTTAACTGCCACAGATAGAAAAATAAAGACTTGTAGGGTATGAAGTACCATAGAGTGATCATTCTCAAGTACCCTTTTTGAAACATTTCCTAAAATCCAAGTCAAAATTAATGTGTTATAACATTTTAACATGCTTTTGTGTAAAATGCTATTGTGCTTTGTGTAAAAATTTGTGTCAGTTTTGCGACTTTTGCCTCGTTTGCATTACATCCCATGACTTTCACCTGACAGTAATAGCCAATAAAGGGCCAAAGTACTGCTTCAAAGTAGTGCTCCGAACTATAAACTGTCCATCTCCTGCTACAGGGAGGGCGACAGAAAGGGCTGCTAGCTCATTAGTTTCCAACACTGGTGCCCATGCTGACTTAAGTGCCACTTTATTCTGTGATGCCATGTTTGGGGGGACAGTTTACTCTACTAAAGAGCATCTGCAGTGATGGAGCTGGGTCCCTCGTCCTGGATGTGGAAGTCTTGAGTCATTAAGCACATTTAACACAAAGGGCAGTCTCATGGTTTTGTTCTCACCACTAACACGTAACTACGTACTAGAGAAAGAAGCGGGTGGCCCGTCTGGCCCCGCACTCAGCCCCTTCTCCTACGGCTGACTATTCTACACTGAGTTCCAGCTCAACCTTCTTTTCAGTCTCTCTCCGAAGGTCAGGATATCAAACAGGCAAATTAGTTCCATTTGTCAAACCTACTTCTTTTTTCCTCTATGTCTTAAATAACATCAGATGACATGTCTATAAATGATTAGAGAGTATCAATACTTTATAGCTTTTGGACTCCCCCTCTCTGACCCTGAGTGGGGTGTAGTCAGTATTAGCTGGATTTCTGGTACTTTTGTGCCTGTGGCTCCTGGTCCTGAGGCCTGAGATCAGGTGTGCCCAAATGGAGGAGAGGGTGGCACTGCTTGGTCACAGAGGAGCCAGCTAGGTGGCTATAGCCCTTGCTGCCTCCCTTCCAGGGTTCACCTGCAGTGGAGCCCATACAAGATCCAGATCCCAAGACCAAGAAAGGCATCTCCATTTGTAGGGCTGAGTGCTGCAATTTTAGAAATACTTGCAATCATCCAGCAAAGGGTGTGACGAGTTCTGATCTGAGGTGACTATGGGGTAGTCGACAGGAGCTAACAGCCCAAGTGCCCATCACTAGATGAATGGGTAAAACAGCTGTGGTACATTTACACAACAGAATACTACTCGGACGTAAAAAGAAAGAAAAATTTTGCCCTTCGTGACAGCATGGATGTACCTGGAGAACATTATGCTAAGTGAGATAAGCCAGTCAGAGAAAGACAAGTACCATATGATTTCACTCATATGTGGATTTTAATGAACTGAACTAATAAGCAAAATAGAGACTCATATAGAGAACAGGCAGACAGCTCTGGTGGAGGGGTGGCGGTGGATGAGAAGGAGGGATTGATGAATAAAAACAACACAACTCATGGATCTGGACAACAGGGCAGTGATTGCAGGGGGGAGGCGCTGGGAGGAGGTAGAAGATGGTATAGGGAAGATAAATGGAGATGGGGGGTGGGGGGAACAACAACATTGGAAAGGGAGAGGCCAGGGTCAGGGCACCCAAGGGTGGGGTGGGTAGGGGAAGGAGTGAGGGAGAGGGTGACTCCAGGGGCTGAACTATCCTACCTGCTTAATAGGCTTCCCAGTCCTGGCTAATTGTCTGCATAAGGCAGTGGTTCTCAACCTTCCTAATGCCGCGACCCTTTAATACAGTTCCTCATGTTGTGTGACCCCCAACCATAAAATTATTTTCGTTGCTACTTCATAACTGTAATTTTGCTACTGTTATGAATCGTAATGTAAATATCTGATATGCAGGATGTATTTTCATTGTTACAAATTGAATATAATTAAAGCATAGTGATTAATCACAGAAACAATATGTAATTATATGTGTTTTCCGATGGTCTTAGGTGACCCCTGTGAAAGGGTCATTCGACCCCCAAAGGGGTCGCGACCCACAGGTTGAGAACCGCTGGCATAAGGGATCTTAAGTACACATGAGCTGGTCCTAACTTACAGGGGTTTTCACACTTTCATTCAAACCTATGCAATTTGGATGACAGGTCATATTAACTTTCAATCCAAAGGATGTGTTCAAGGTTGTACATGAAGACCCAGGTGGTTGCCTTCACTGCTGAGTTGAAAATTTTTAAATACATAAAAAATATTTTAAACAAAAACTTTCAAAGCCCCAGACCTTAAGATGACAACTAGTGCTGCTTATTTTTTCCTTTGAAAAATGCATACAAAATACAGACAATGGTTATAAAATGTAAGCTGAAATGGTTATTTGCTGGAACACAGAGTCCACCACAGGAACTGCACCATGAGAGCCTGAGTGCACTGAGTGACAGGAAGGGGGAGGGGAAGGAGCACTTGCAATGAATGATGTGAGCAGGAAGACTGTGTCACTGAGATGCAAAAGAAAATCGACAGTGAGGTTTTAAAAATGATGCAGCTTCAGAACCAAGTTGTTAACCGCATTCAAACTACACACAATTTACACAAAAGACCAAATTTGTACTTTTAACTTTTTAAAATGTAGGAGTTAAAAAATTAAGAAAAGTTTAATTCCCTCTCTATCCACCCCCCTTTTTTAGTGTTAATAGAGAAAGATTAATTAACTCTCATTCTCAGGTCTTAAAAGCCTATGCATCATTTTTATTTTCAACAAAAGTGAATCATCTTTTACAAAACCATGGCATCCTGGCAAAGTTGCATCACTGGGGCGGCTGAAAATATATTGCCCATGGTTAACAAAACCAAACAATTGTCTTGAGGAGTCCTCAGGTGGCTCCGTGCCCCCCTTACATACTTTCAGGACCCAGTTTTAACTTCCGGCTGTTTTTCTGGCCTGAGCTACATGAGGACCTGGTTGTTCCACATAAGCAGCTCCTTCTGAAGACTAACCGGGTGCTTTGACCACCCCCACAGAAGCCTTTCCCTTTTCTTTACCACCACCTCCTCCTCCCGCCTACCAGTCTCCTCCCAGCACTCCCGCCATGCCCTCCTGGAGGCCACTCCAAAAGACCCACCATCCCCACTCCACTCTCTCCACCCACACCCATGAAACCAGGAATGTCCTCTGGGAATCCCCAGGCCTGCCTTCCGGTGGAGGTGGCCTGTACCCCTTTCCCAGGGCCTGAGAGCTGATCAAGCCACACGGTTGCCTACCTTCTGGCCGAGGAAGAGGCTCTTGGTGGAGAGAACTGTGAAGCCATCAGCGGGCGTGCCTTCGGTCGTGCTGTCGGCACTGGCTGCCTTGCTGACTTCTCCCTGCTTCTTCTTACACAAATAGAAGAGTCAGTATGTGGACTGCACAGGCAAAGATGGCAAAAATCTGGGCTTTTCTAACAAAAAGGCAGCTCACAGGCATTGCCCAAAATACTATGAGAAAACAGGAAATTAAACCCCCAGAACATCTCAGCTTTTCTCAAAATGGGGGCCACAGACTTATTTTGAAGTATAAGAATTCTATGAAAAATGTTAAATTGTATTTTCAGCACCTTATACTCAAAATTAGCTATTCAAAGGCAGAACTGTACTGTGGTAATTTAGAACAGAACCATTTTCATAGATTTAGACCAAGTAAATGTCTTTTGAGGGTCTTCAGTTTCTAGATGTCTGTACACTATTGAAGTCTTAGGGGCAAAACAAATTATTCTAGTCATTAGTTCTCAAAGGGCCAAAAAGCAGACCAAGGACCATAATCTTCCAACCCTCCCCAGCCCAGGAGGTAAGACTCTCCAACTCTCTTTTCATTAAAACCAGCCTTGGAGAGGATTCATATGGTGCCTATTGGTGAACCCTGGAGACGCCACTCCCACGCCCTATAGTGTGCACGATCTTGGCATGCTCAGCATCATTCCATCTGAAATATGTGTACTCTGGGGTTCCCAAGAGCCTTTCAAGGGGTACATTACATGGAGAGATTAAATCCATTTCCAGATCCTCAACTTTCTAATGCATTTTTCCAAAAAGAGAGGTCTATGCCTAAGAGAGATCTACGCCTGTGGTCAAGGTTTCTTGCTGGGTCTCCTTGTACAACCATCCTTCTCCCACTTCCCAGACTCAATATTAGCATGGCACACCCCTGGAGGAGGAATGCATGTCTTTCCAAGTGTTTTATATATTTTGGGTAAGCACAAGAATTGTATTAAAAAAATTGATATTCTGAGTCAGTTGAGGACTTTTTGCATTCAGATATATTATGGAGTGAGGACAGTGGAAACAATGGCAAATTTTGTTTAGACACTAAACCTTTTCCCTTCCCCTAATTATTATCAAAAAGTATATCACTCCTGAGGGAGGGTCCAGTGGGAGCAAATCAAAAAAGTACAACTTCTCTGCTGTAGTCACCTTCAGTCCTCACAGTCTGTCAGATTGAGGGTCAATCCAACCCACTGATGTGCCAACAGCAATTAAGGCTCAACTGCATCAGGAGGGTACAAAAAAACCCACACAAGGCCACCTGGCTCACATGACCAGGGAGACAGTGCCACTGGGCCCCACAGGATAACTACTACGTAAGGCCACTCTGCCAAGACTGGAAGATACAGCATATCTACATAGACACAAATGAGAAGGAAGACAATATGAGAAGACAAAGAAATATGTCCCAAATGGTCAAAAGAATAGGCAAAAGCTACAGAAAAAGAGCTAGATGAAATTGAGGCAAGAAATCTACCAGATACAGAGTTTAAAACAGTGGTTATAAGGATATTTAATGAACTTAGGAGAAAAATAGGTTAACTCCGTGAAAACTTACACAAAGAGATAGAAACTGTAAAAAAAGAACCAGTTAGAAATGAGGAATATCATAACTGAAATGAAGCTTCATTAGATGGACTTAACAGCAGATTAGATGAAGAAGAGGATCAAATCAGCGATCTGGAAGACAAGGTAGCAGAAAACTCCCAATCAGAACAGTAAAAATAAAATATAATAAGGATAGTTTAAGGGACCTCTTGACAACATCAAGCATACCAAAATTTGCATCCCAGGAGTACCTGAAAGAGAAGAGAGCAAGAAATTGAAAATCCTATGTGAAAAAATAATGACTGAAAACTTCCCTAACCTGGTGAAGGAAACAGATATATAAAGCCAGAAATGCAGAGTCCTAAACAAGGTGAACCGTACACCAAGACACATCATAATTAAAATGCCAAAGGTTAAAGACAAAGAGAAAATCTTAAAAGCAGCAAGAGCAAGAGAAAAGCAGTTAGTGACATACAGGGATCTCCCATAAAATTGTTACCTCATTTCTCAACAAAAATTTTGCAGGCCAGAGGGATTGGGACAAATTATACAAAGGGATGAAAAGCAAGGACATACAATCAAGATGACTCTATCTAACAAACCTATCATTTAGAATTGAGCGTAAAGAGCTTTCCAGACAAGAAAAAACTAATAGTTCATCGTCACTAAATGAATATTACAAGAAATGTTAAAGGGATTTTTTTTTAAAAGATTGAAAATATGAATAAGAAAATACAGGAAAGAAAAATTTTCACAAAGGCAAACACATAATAAAAGCAGTGGATCAACCAACTATAAAGCTAGTAAAAAGGTTAAAAGGCAAAAGTAGGAAGATCATGTGTAATTACAACAAGAAATTAAGTGATAAACATACACACACAGAAACATGAAGTAAAAAAGACAAAAACATAAACATGGAAGGGGGTAAAAATTGTGATGCTTATAGATCATCACAACCAACAATTTAAGCAACCAACAATTTAAAATAGACTGCTATAAACATAGCTTTTTATATAGGAAGCACATAGTAACCATAAACCAAAAATCCACAAGAGATTTAAGAATATAGATAGGAATCCACACACTAAAGAAATTCATTAACATACAACAGAAGATAGCAAGAGAATAAGAAAGGAAGAGAAAAACTACAAAAACAATTTTTAAAAAGCTAACAAAATGGCAAGAACTACATACCTATCAATAATTACTTTAAATATCAATGGACATCAAAAGACATAAGATGGCTAAATGGATAAAAAGACAAGACCCATGCATATGCTGGCTACAAGAGACCCACTTCGGATCAAAAGTCACACACACACTGAAAATAAAGGGATGAGAAAAGGTATTTTATGCAAATGCAAATAAAAAAAGTGGGGTAGCAATACTTCTATCAGACAAAACAAGGGCCATAACAAGAGACAAAGGACATTGCATAATGATGAAGAGATCAACCCAAAAAGTGGACATAACTCTCATAACATCTAAGCACTCAACCTAGGAGCACCTAATATATAAAGCAAATATGAATGAACATAAAGGGAGAGACTGATAGTAATATAGTCAGAGTAGGGGATTTTAGTACCCTCTTGACATCAATGGATAATATAGTTAGTAATATTGTAATAACTATGTCAGATAGCTCCTAGACTTATTGGGGTGATCATTTCATAAGTTATATAAATGTCTAATCACTATATTGTACTCCTGAAACTAATGTAATATTGTATGTCAACTATAATTGAAAAAATTTTTTAAAAAGAAAGTAGGGGGAAAGAAATATTACAGATGGCCATGCCTTCCTGCAGAATGAGTCTGGACAGTAAACTCAAGGCAAGACCTATGCCCTATCCATTTGCCCACTTAGTATTCAAATTCATTAACACATTAATATTTTTTCTTATATTAAAAAATAGATTTGCCTGGCCGGAGTGGCTCAGTGGTTAAGTGTCGACCTATGAACCAGGAGGTCACAGTTAGATTCCTGGTCAGGGCACATGCCCTGGTTGCAGGTTCAGTTCCCAGTGTGGGGCAAGCAGGAGGCAGCCAATCAATAATTGTCTCTGATCATTTATGTTTCTTTCTCTCTCTCTCCCTCTCCCTTCCTCTCTGAAATCAATAAAAATATATTTTTAAAAAAATAGGTTTCATTTTGCTACTTTTTTTTTTTTTTTGTAATCCTCACCAGAGGATATATCTTCCATTGTTTTTTAGAGAGAGTGTAAGGGAGAGGGGGAGAGAGAAACATCAATGTGAGAGCAGGGCAAGGATTAAGCCTGAAACTGAGGCATGTGCCCTTGACTGGAATCAAACCTGAGACCCTTCAGTACATGGACCGACTCTCCAACCATTGAGAAAACCATCTAGGACTTAATTTTACTGAACTCTTTAACAATAAAGGCTGCTTTGGCATTTAGATTATGTGGCTAACCTGAAATATTTTCCGTAAGTTAAATGAGACAAATCTGAAGCTCCAAAGTTGTAATATAAGACACAAAGCATTTTATCAAGAAATATGGTAGCAGCAAAGATATATTAAAGTTATTACTATTTTGGTTTTCCTAATACTTCAAGAGTATCAGATTTGACACGTAAGAGAGAAACAGGTATAATCAACAATTACATGTAAGTCTTGGTAAAGCTTTTTTTATACACTTCCCAGGAGACAAGAAAGGGAAAGGCTGGATGACAAATCCTTTTGCAAGTCAGATGTTTCTAATTCTGTGCTTTCAACAAAACAGAAGAAATATCAAATTGAGTTAACAGCTGATAGATCATTAAAAAACAGATTGATGGAGTTTAGTTAATAGTAATGGACCAATGCTAGTTTCTTAGTTGTGACTAATGTGCCAGAGTTATGTAAGATGTTAACAAGGAAATTGGGTGAGGGACATTTAGAAACTCTCTGTACAGTCTTTGTAACTTCTCTGTAATTTAAAACGACTCTAAAATAAAACATTTATTAAAACAAATTGATGACAGATTACTATGTGATTGTTGGCATATAACTCAGAAAGAGTTCAGAGGACTGGGTGGTGTTGCTATTACAAAATCTTTTCCATTCCTACTAATTATTTTTGTGAACAAGCTTTTCCAGGCACTTATACCTCTAAATATAAAAATATAGGATGCTAAACCGTCTCATTTTAGCAATAAGTAACATTCATCTTAGAATACTTGAGTTAATTGAAAAACTATCTCCATCTATCCCATGCTGTTCCAAGAAAATTTTACTTTTTTCTTAAGTTACTAAAATTTGTGACGTATCTGTCATTTTGATCAATTATGTATTATTAATAAACTAGAGGCCCAATGCACAAAATTTGTGCAAGAGTAAGCCTTTGCAGCAGCAGCAGCAGCTGCTGCCTCGATCCCTCACTCGCAGCTGTGTGTGGGGGAGGTTGGGGGGGAGGGAGGCGCTGCCTGGATCCTTCCCTTGCCGGCTTGTTCCAGAAGGATGTCTGGTCTAATTAGCATATTATGCTTTTGTTATTATAGATGTGATAATTATCCAAGCCTGGATTATA